CGCGGTGGAGGCGGGGGGCCCGTGCTCGTAAGCCTGTGAGCGGTGCTCCCGGAGGCATTTGAGCGCAGAGGTTGGAATAGGCGGACTGCGAGGCCCTGCAGGGTTGTGAGACGCAGGGCGTTCACTGAGTAGCCGCCTGAACGGGAGTTTGAGCCGGCGGAAGTCAGGCTGCAGGGCGGAATCCGCTGGATCTGTGCGGGCCCTGGGAGACCCTCCGGAGCCTGGCCCGGGCTGCGCAGCCCGGGGGTCCCGAGCTTAGGGGAACCGTCAGCCGGGAGGCCTGTGGCTGCAAGACCTGCTCAGCCTGGCAGCAGGCTGCCTGGGGCTCTGCTGGTGCCTGGCACGGAAAATGGCGAGGCACAGCTCATAAATGGCGTCTGCTAAAATGTTCAGTACCCTGTTGAAGTCCCAAATCTAAGCTAAAACAGAGCTGAAACAAGGTTAAAACTAATTAAGCTGCTTAAGAATGAAACATGCCTGCTCAGTTGTGTCAGCGCTGGGCTGTTTTTTTCTCCTGATATTTCCTACTCTTGCTAACAAGTTGTGGTCATCCACACAGAAGAGGGAGGAAAGACAAGACGCCGTGAGGTATATGTACAATATCATCTGCGGAAGCCTGATGACAACACCAGTGTAATAACTGTATGTCAGATGAGTGGAATAAGCTGGAACAGGAAGAACGAGCAAAGTAGCAATATGGATATTAGATCTCTGTTTAACCATGTGCAAAATGACCTAAAGGAAGCAAGACTTTAATAGGAGTCGCCACGCCTGTCTGTGATTGGTCAAATGAATGTTTCTGCACTCTAAGCCCTGAAAAACCTCATCCTAATTAAGTATTCATGCACATGCTAGGAGCCAGAGCAATACAGGTATGGCTATGATGAAAGCCCTTAAATGGGGAAAAGTGTTCAGGGTTCACCAATAGCACTCCTTTTCTCAGGTGTATGATGTTTATTCTTTGCACCGAGATTATGATTTCCGTTATCTGTTCCAATCCTATCAAATCCTGCTGATTCTTTTTCCCCTTTTTGTCCATCTTTGTATACTTTATCTCTGTGAAATTGGGGACTTTTTGATATGTGTGTGGTATACTGGATCCCTGTCCTTATTTGAAGCTTGTAGCTCCTAAAGAAATATAAGTCAAACCCATAGGTTTTCATTAACTTTCTCCTAAGCCAAACCAATGATGTTTGTCACTGCCAGTTGATGCAGGACATGCACTTCTAGAGATAGGACAAAAATTATTATCTCAGTGGCCAATCTGACGTCTGACAGCCACCTTCTCCTTCATATTTTAGCAGTTACCTGGAAGAAATGAAGTCATAGCCTGCAAGGTGATTTGTGCAGTAAATTATTAAAAAATAATTTTGAAGATAGTTGGCTACTACAGAATAATTTTCATTGTTCAGTAATTTATTTTAATTATACAGTATGGAATTTAATACATTCAGATGCAAGGTTGTCTAGGAACAGAGAATGCATGTGTAAGTTGCAGGATAGAAAATGTCTGTCTAGTGGAAAACTTTACCACTGAGAAAGGTTTTTAATGTAATAATTGACAACCGAAAATATCTGAAGCACCAGTGCAGTTTGTAGCATAAGAACAGTTTAACTGTTAGTTGAACTAACAGACAACATGCAATTCTACTGTCAGTGTTTTTAAAAGGATGCTGAAAAATTGTGGAGGACAGCTAGAGGTAAGAAATAACTTTGTGGGCTGAAAAAGCTATTTCACAGTGGGAACAGACAACCTACTTAATTCATCAAGACTTAGTAGACAATAATATCTTTGAAGCATCCACAGAGAGTTAAGATAATGCTGAGGTCTAGTTGAATGGATGAATGTCTATTAAGATTCAGTCACTGCAGGGTAAACTTTGATATTCTCAAACTGGAAATAATACTAATTCTTAAGAGGATTTTTTGTATCAAGTGCGGTTGTGGTATACTGCATTGTAAGTAGCATTTACTGTATTAGTTGTCATTCTGAAAGAATTTGAAACTGTGCAGATCTGTTCTCACGCCATTTCCAGCTACATGTCCCTCTTTTGTACTCTCCTTGTGTAAAGATAAGGCTGAAGAGAGATCTGTTTTTCTGACTTGACTCCTTCTACAAACTGCTGGGGAAGTGAACCTCCTTTGCACTCAGCCTCTCAGGCCTTGTGCGTATGTGTGTCCAACTGTGTGCAAGGCATCAATAAAGCTTTTACTACTAGTTTGCAAGACATAAGCCATAGCTTTGTTTGGGGCCTGTATTTGCATTCATTAGCCTGTCTTGTTCTGCTCTAGCATCTGCACAGAGTTTGGAATACATCTCTCATTTGAAGCTGTCTTGGTGCAATGTGCATCTGATCGGTGCTTACCTCATATCTCGGTTTTGGCCTTTGTTGCACAAATCTCCCTACTGAATCTCTGAGGAGTCCTTGGAAGCACTTTGCATTGGGCTACAGGGAAGGCCAGGGAGGCAATATAGCAGGAGAACAAAGTAATGCGGTCATTTGATCTGACATTCAAATCTCCGCTTTGACTTGGGTGGATCAAACCTTTCTGCAATATAGGGCCACATTTATGACTACAAGTGGCAGAGATTTTATAACAATTAAGAATTCACAGAGTAGCCACATCTGTAGAGTTTTAACATGGGGGGATTGGAATCCCAATACACGGCATAAAAGCGATAGAATTGGAACAGGAACTACAGGAAAAAATTAAAACGTCTGAGTGAGATTCAGAAACTTCTGTTGGAAACCTTTTAGAATATTTTGCACAGAGGTGCTGCTATCTGTCCTTATGAGTAACTCATCCTTAGATAAAAATGACAACACAGAGACATTCAGGCGGATGAGATTAAATTGGGTCATACTGTAGAATAAGAATTTATCTGTCAAATGACTTCAAGTTACAGGCAGAGCCAAAGCAGATCTTCCATGCAATACATGAAAGTCATAATTAATGAAAACACAGAGGTAAAATGATAAAATACTTTGAAAAGAATGTTTTTGCATATTACAGTAGATAGGTCTAACCTCTCAGGAAGATTAGACAAGATTTGTGAAGATGAGTAAAAAATATAGTATCACTAAAACAAGAATTATTATATAGGTGACAGACAAGCACAATTATATATTTTTCAAGCAATAACAAAATACGAGTTCAGGATAAACTGGAAGTACAAATAATTTTCTATTTCTGTGCAAGTCAAGATGTGTTTCAGTGTAACATCTTAATCAGTGACCGGGACAGTTGGACAGAATGCATCTTTATCAGGGTTGCAGATGACACCAAAATGGGGGGAGTAGTCAGCACACTGGAGGGTAGGGTTTTTATTCAGAGCAACTGTGTCTTGTCAAAACCAGCGTTTTGCCAGAAAGCAAGCAGGCTTAGCTTTCTGAACTACTGGCTAAGGGAATCTGTTTGTGTTTCTTTTCACAGACTATTGGAAGCCTGTAACAATTCAAGCCATGTCTCCAGAAGTGTATTTGGTAAAAAGGTTCTGGTTACAAATGCCCAGTCTGAGTTTTCTGTCTCCTTTAATGTGTGTGGGTAACCCATGAAGCAATTCTTTGTTCTTAATGTGCTAGAAGTGCAGGTGTGTTGTAAGAAGTGTGAAAGGCATTCTGCCAAAATTAATATTAAATCTAGTGACTGTAAGGGAAGAAGCAGTGAGGAAACAATTTTGCATGAACATAACAGTGGAAATTAAAATGTGTTAATGTGCTGGCATTTTTTGCCATTAAGGACTTGGTTTATTTGCTTATAATCCCATATGGCAATACTTTATAGCATCATGTACCCTTAATTGCTGATGCATGGTACTCTAGGACATATGTTTTGTGGCTGGTAAAATTGTTCATCTCTGTTCAAAAGAAACACTTCTTACTAGTGTTACTCACAGGATGAGGAACTCTCAATCTTCCATGTTAAGAACAGACAAGAATCTGTGATTTTTCTTAGGGAAATAGAAGCAGCTGATGTTAGTGTCTCTCTGCTATTTGGAGGAGCTAGCATTTCAACATTGAATGTGATGCAGCTGGAATGAAATGTTAAGGATGGGAGAGATCCGAGGAATGTTTGGAAAGGGAGAAAAAAATGGCATACAAATACTCTCTTTTTCACCTCTAGCTGTGTAAGAAAATCATCTATAAAATCTGCAGAAACCATTCACTAGGAATGAGTTTGCCTCCAGGGGAGCCAGTCTGTGTTGCCAGATTCAACCACGATTCCAGGACACGAGTTCCTATTGATCCTGACCACCATCAGATATATACTGATCTATATACTATTACTTAAACCATATACTCACCCCACTAAGCATAGGAACTCACAACTGAATTAACACTTTTTGTTTTGGCCTTGCACTGTAGGATTTATTTTTGTGTTGCAAGCAGAATTCCCCAGGCACTGATACTTGTCCCCTGGCACAGATGATGTCCTGCCAGATGGAAAATCTGTCAACATTTGTTTGGGTAATGAAGTCTTTACAAATATTTGGCTCATTGCCATAGTTGTTTGGCACAGACAGCAGAAAATTTAGAAGCTTCACTCGTGCATAAGGATTCATCTGCTTACACTACAATTTAAGGGGTGAACAGTCATTAGGAGAAAAGGAATGCTCTAAATGTTCATGTAGCCTTGAATTATGTGCAAATTGTGAGTGAATGCACTCAGAGATTCATATAGATATAAACCAACTAATTTGGTTATTTATTTTAATTTTTTTAGAATAGCTAAATGTCCAGCCAAAACCCTTAGGTGCATTGCCATCTCTTAGAAACTTGTCCAAAAAGATACTGCACAAATGCTTATCTGGAGCTCAGCTTAATATTAAGATTCCTTGTATTTGCAATTTATGACTTGAGCTGTAGGAAGATTTTCTAAAAGATGTTTCCACATCCAATTAGACACATAGTGAAAACTGCCTTTAAAACCAATAAAGAGATTTATGTCTGTTTAGGCTACCTCTTTTCACAAAGTGTGCAGGAACTGAGTTATCTTTCAACTAAAGCCTTCTGTCACGTTCTGCTCATGCTGACCAGTGGGCTCAGATTTTACTAGGAGACCACGTGGTGTGATAAAACTTTTTTTTTTTCTTCTCAGGGGAGTGAGGCAAATATTGGGACTGACATACAGAAATAATCAGACTCAGAATGAAAAGTAGTGGTTTTACGACAAAAAGGAGTCAATGGTCTCCTCATATTATTTAATGGTTATCTCCTCTTACTATAGATTGTGCTCTGGTACACAAGTAGAGATTTGTGCATGATCGGTTGTGTTACTAAGCAGATGGATTGTTTGCCATTGTACAACCTGGAGCTTTTATCAGAGCTTATGGCATTATTACTGGATCGAATTCATTGTCGTAATCAAGCTTGAAAGGCATGATTATTATGTATCATCCTGCTCAATTGTTCACTAATAGGGTAGGCTGCTCTTTTATCCACTTAAAGATGGAAGCAGGTGGCTTTGCTACAATTATTTGATAGAACTGAGGAGCTGGAAAGGGCTTAGCTGACCTAAAAGTACTGAACGCTTTCTTAAGCACTTAAGCTCTTGAACATCACTCATCTGGATTCTTTTCCATCTTTTCCATTTTCCATATTGATTTCAACTAAGACACTAACAATTATAATACTTGTGATGAAAACACTGAGTGGCAAAGACTGAATTATATCGCTGTATTGCTGGCCTTTGGATAGCCTTGCCAGATCTTTCCATGACTTCAAATGATGAATACTTTAAATGATGAAAACTTCAGATGTTGAATAGCACAGGGACAGAGGACTAAACCTCATAGGAATCTTCAGATGAGACCTTTGAAGATGCAGGAATATTTATTCATAGTTACTTTCTATCTTCCTGTGGCCTGAGAAGGAGACAGTGCTGTTTCACAGTGGTTAAAATTGCCCCCTAAAATGTCTGTTTGTCTGGACTGTCTGTTAGAGTAGCAAGTACTGCTTACCTAGCCCTGCAACACTGGTAGCTCACAGTAGAGGCTTTTTATAACTGGTTTTTTAATTATCTTATGTAGATAATGGTTAATCTTAGAAGTGACTATCCTGGGCTTTCTGTTAGCTCCAGTATTTTCTTACTTTGGTCAGAATTTTATGTTCAGAAAGAGTTATAATTTTATGCCATGGTAGGGTGTAACAGATTAAGTTTCATGTGTGCTCTGCTTGGTTGTCAGCCAAGAAAGTAGCGTTCTCTCATGCACAAGTAGTGACCATGGCTCTAAATAGCTAATTCACTTCTGGGCGGAGTATATTTAGCATCTATTAACAGAAAAATCAAAGGTTTTGGTTATCAATACCTTCTGGGGACATCATAAATACTGAGATGATTCACCAAGTTCTAATCGTTTTTTTGACACTTTTTATACAGGTTCATAGCCAAGAACATTATGAGGCTGCAGCGTCTGGGGATAACCCATGTTCTGAATGCAGCAGAGGGGAAGTCATTCATGCATGTGAACACTAATGCAGAGTTCTATGAAGGCACAGGCATCAGATACCATGGCATTAAAGCTAACGATACACAAGAATTTAACCTCAGTCGCTATTTTGAGGAGGCAGCTGATTTTATTGAGAAAGCACTTTCCCAGAAGGATGGTAAGGCAAACTGAAATATCTTTCTACCATGTTTTCTGTGCGCTGCGTATGTTTCTTAGCAATTTATTTTACTGTTTAAAATGGTTCTTTGCTCAGATCATCAGCTGAACAACCAAGTCAGGAATTCAGATCAAGGCTCTGGATCAAAGACATGAGAATACATAATAAGACATCTTAATCTTCTGTCTATACATGTAGGTCTCCAGTATATGGCAAATGAAAGTCTGTCACTGTAGGGGTGACTTTGAAAAGTGAAACACGCTGCTGCGTTCTATAATAGTGCCTTTCTGGGAAGATGTGTTCTTATTTTTCCTTGGAAGTGGTAAATCACATGAAAAAATAAAAAAAAATAAGTTCAGGATCTAAAAGTTGTTTTAGGACACTAGAAATTATAAATCAAAGGCAGCAGTCATACAAGTAATGCATTGCTGAAGAGTAGTCACACAACCTGCTATATGTCTTTTTTCCCAAATGTACAGTAAGGATAGAGACTGTGGCCTTACAATTTTTATTACATTAAGTCATTAAATTATTTTATGTGATGATTACCTCATTATTTTCTAGGATTGCAGGAAGGCTGGAGATGATATTTGCAATGTTGTTGATTGCCACATTTCCCTATTTTTTCGGAGCAGAAATCCTAGGACATAGTGCAGTAGGCCAGACAGTGTTTGTTGTTGTCTGACTATTTCAGCATACCAGTTATTTCTACACATGCTTAATTTCTTTCTTGCTTCATGACTGAACATGAAAAAGGAGGAACAAGAACTCCCACAATTCTAGAAGTTCTTTCTCTGAAATGGGCAAAAGGGGTACTAGAGCTGTGATGTGCTTTTGACAGATGGAAAGAAATTTTACCTCCAGTTTGGTGGAGTATGAAAAATTCTAAAAATTGAAATGCAACTCTTCCAGTTAGCATTGTGACTCACTGAAACAGGTTGCAGTAGGAAAGAAGGGTCTAACAGTGCCAGCTGTACCATGACTGTCCCTACTCAGTTTGATCTAAACAGTTGCAGACTCAATCTGAATTTACAGTAGCAGTTCTATTTGCTGATTCTTTCAGTCTTAGTAGTTCTCTATAATGGCTGCCACTGTTTTCTTACGGTGGTAAACAAAGAGGAACTTTGTAGCTGGGTGATGCTGGAGCCAATTTTAAGATTAACTCGCTACTGAAATTTGATAGTTTTGTTTGACATTGAAGTATAGAGTAAGGACAGTGAAGTGAAGAGGGATGCAGTAGTATTTTCCTTCAATTTCATTTTAGCGTTGTAGTTGCATGAAGTTCTGAAAGGCAGGTCTGGTATACTAAAGGTCTGGAAGGCAGCTCTTAAGACTGCCTTTCACAGAGGAAGGCTAGAAACCCTTTTGCTTCTGATCATTTGCAGGGAGGAAGTCAATTCTCTTCCACAGATATGATCAAGAATCTCTAAATCTTGCTAGTTTATGGCTACGGGCTCTCAAGAAGTGTTGAGAATGAATTGTTTTAGCTGTTTAACTTGCTGCTGATTAGAGATTTGCCTTGAGCTGAGAAGCCTCTGCAGCTCAAGGCAAATGTGGTAACGGGTTTTCTGTTGCTGTGGTTCAAAGCAAGTTGTGGTTATGATGAAAATGTGTGAGTATGGTTCATCTGTTCTCCTGTCTCAGAAAAAAATTTACTCTGGAGAGTAGCCTGGGGCCATATCTCCCACTGCATTTGGGAAGGGGAAAATTTTTGTGTCTGGGAAAGCAGGTCAAAGAGGAAGCAGCTGAGAAGCAATAAAATCGAGTTAGATTTCTCAAAGGGAGCAGTGGCCTGCTTTATTATGGTTGGATACCTACCTACAGGATTTACCCATGTGGTGGGTTGACCCTGGCTGGACACCAGGTGCCCACGAAGCCGCTCTATCACTCCCCCTCCTCAGCTGGAAAGGGGAGAAAAATAGGACAAAAGGCTCATGGGTCAAGATAAGGACAGGGACTTAACTCAGCAATTACCGTTGCGGGCAAAACAGGCTGGACTTGGGGAAATTAATTTAATCTATTACCAATCAAATCAGAGCAGGATAATGAGAAATAAAACCAAATCTTAAAACACCTTCCCCCCACCCCTCCCTTCTTCCTGGGTTCAACTTCACTCCTGATTTTCTCTACCTCCTCCCCCCGAGTGGCACAAGGGGATGGGGAATGGGAGTTGTGGTCAGTTCATCACGTTGTCTTTGCCGGTCCTTCCTCCTCACTCTCTTCCCCTGCTCCAGTGTGGCACCCCACCCATGGGAGATAGTCCTCCACGAACTTCTCCAGCATGGGTCCTTCCCATGGGCTGCAGTTCTTCACGACCTTCCATGGGGTGCAGTCCTTCAGGAACAGACTGTTCCAGTGTGGGTCCCCCACGGAGTCACAAGTCCTGCCAGAAAACCTGCTTCAGCATGGGCTTCTCTCCACGGGGTCACAGATCCTGCCAGGAACCTGCTCCAGTGCGGGCTTTCCATGGGGTCACAGTGTCCTTTGGGTGTATGTGCCTGCTCCGGCATGGGGTCCTCCACGGGCTGCAGGTGCATGTCTGCTCCACCGTGGACCTCCGTGGGCTGCAGGGGAACAGCCTGCCTCACCGTGGTCCTCACCACAGGCTGCAGGGGAATCTCTGCTCTGGTGCCTGGAGCACCTCCTGCCCCTCCTTCTTCACTGACCTTGGTGTCTGCAGAGTTGTTTCTCTCACTTATTCTCACTCCTCTCTCCCAGCTGCTGTTGTGCAGCAGGTTTTTTTCCCCTTCTTAAATGTGTTATCACAGAGGCGCTACCACCATCGCTGACGGGGTCAGCTTTGGCCAGCGGCAGGTTCCTCTTGGAAGTGGCCGGCGCTTGGTCCTTCT